TAGTCCCCCCTCCCTGCTTGATACCTGGCCAGGGAGGTGGGACTAAAAAAAAATATTAAAGTAATTATATTAAAATAAAAAAAATATTAAAATAAAAAAATATTAAAGTAATTATGTTAAAATAAAATAAAAAATATTAAAATAAAAAATATAAAAAATAATACGAATGTCCTCCCCCACCCAGTTTACACACACAGTACACAAAGAGTGTGTGTGTGTGTATAATGCAGAGTGTGTGTGTGTATAATGAAGTGTGTGTGTGTATAATGCAGTGTGTGTTTGTATGAATGCAGTGTGTATATAATGCACACACACACTCTGCATTATATACACACACTGCATTCACACAAACACACACATTCTGCATTCATTATATACACACACTACACACAAACACACTCTGCATTCAATATATATACACACTGTAAATAAATATTAAATTAATGTAATTTTATTGGGAAGTAATTTTATTCAGAAGGAGCTGCTGCATTTCCCAACCTAGGCTTATACTCGAGTCAATACGTTTTCCCAGTTTTTTGGGTAAAATTAGGGGCCTCGGCTTATATTCAGGTCTACTTATACTCCCTTCACTTCTGCTCCGTTCGGCTCACGGTCTGCGTGCCGCGTGGAGCATTGCCACGGACGGCCACGGGTCTCGCGAGAAGGGAGCAAACAGGAGCTGCAGGAAAGGTAACAGCTCGCTGCCAGCCCCCAACGGGACCGCCAGGCTTGTAATGAGCCCGGCAGTCCTGGTCTGTATTATGGCAATGTAAGTTGCCATAATACAGACACTGACTCGAGTATAAGCCAAGTGGGGGTTTTTCAGCACAAAAAATGTGCTGGAAAACTCGGCTTATACTCGAGTATATATGGTAATTATATATGGTAAGTAATTCCTCGGCTTGTACTTGGAAAGTACTATTCTCTGTGCAACTGCAACGCAGCTTCAGCAACTGTCCCTTAGGGATGTTGTTAAGTCAGGGCAAGTAATGGCCACTGTTATATGTAACGTAGCCATTTGCGTCCACTCTCTTAAAAAAAGTCTACGTTTTAAAAAAATTCTCCTGCAACATAAATATTCAGATCTAAAAAATCAATTTCCAGGGGTTTGATATTGTGAGTCAACTGTATGCCCCAGTCATTGTCATTAAGAAAATTAAAAAACTCCATTAAACTCTGCTGAGTGCCCTTTCATATCAAAAACATATTGTCTATCTAGCGACGATAGGCTAGTATACGTAGTGCCCATCACCGTACCCCACTTCTGTAGATAAAAGGAAGAATCAAGCCAGAAATAATTATTGCGAAGTGACCAGTCAATGCATGTCAATAAAAAATCAACTTGAGAGGGGAGTAAGTCCTGGTCCTTCATTAAAAATTGTCAAACTGCGGTGCACCCTTTCTCATGAGGAATGCAAGTGTAAAGTGGGGTAACATCACAGGTTATTAGGAGATAATCATCCCTCCATCTAAAACCATTCACCATTTAAAGGACATCCGTAGTGTAAGGTTGTAAAAACATGTCTATATTAGAGTTGAGCGAACCCGAACTGTAACATTCGGGTTCATACCGAACATTACGTTTTTTGGCCCCCGCACCCGAGCATGGACATATCACTGTATGTTCGGGTTGGAGTTCAGTGTTCGGCGATTTAATGGCGCGTTTTGAAAGGCTGCAGGGCAGCCAATCAACAAGCGTTTGACTTGTGTGCCCTTAGAAGCCATTAAAGCCATGCCTACTGATGGCATGGCTGTGATTGGCCAGTGCAGCATGTGACCCAACCTATATATAAGCTGGAGTCACGTAGCTCCGCACGCACATGAGCTCTTATTAGTGTAGGGAGAGGATGCTGCATCTGTGAGGGATAGCTTAGGAAAGAATTCTGCAAACTAGTACATTAGTGGGTGCACTTCATATCTGAGAGTCAAATATAAGCTTCAAATACCGCGGTTACTTCGGAGTTTTAAAAAGTAATTTTTTTTTGGTGCTAAATAGTGGGATAGTACATTAGTGGGGTGCACTTCATATCTGAGAGTCAAATACTGCTGTCACATTGCAGTTTTAAAACGTTTGATTATTTTGGCTGCTAAAAAGTACATTAGTGGGGTGCACTTCATATCTGAGAGTCAAATAGAAGTGTCAAATACTGTTGTCACATTGCAGTTTTAAAACGTAAAAATTTTTGGATGCTAAACTGCTAAATAGTACATTAGTGGGGTGCACTTCATATCTGAGAGTCAAATAGAATCGTCAAATATTGCTGTCACATTGCAGTTTAAAACGTATAATTTTTTGGGTGCTAAAAAGTACATTAGTGGGGTGCACTTCATATCTGAGAGTCAAATAGAAGCATTAAATACTGCTGTCACATTGCAGTTTTAAAGCTTACAATTTTTTGGGTGCTAAACTGCTAAATAGTATTTTAGAGGGATGTACTTCACATCTGAGAGTCAAATAGAAGCGTTTCATAGTGTGCTTACAGCGCAGTGGTAAACATTCTAATTGTTTTGCTGCTAATCTGCTGCTTACATTGGAGTTTTAAAAAGCAAATTTTTTTTGGTGCTTAATAGTATATTTGGGGTGTGCACTTCATATCTGAGAGTCAAATAGAAGCGTCAGATAGTGCGCTTACTGCGCACTTGTAAACATTCTAATTTTCTGGGTGCTAATCTGCTAAATAGTAAATTTTAGGGACTGCTCTTTATATTTGAGAGTCAAATAGAAGCGTCTAATAGTGCGCTTACTGCGCAGTTGTAAAAATTCTTATTGTTTTGCTGCTAATCTGCTAAATAGTACATTTGTGGCCTGCAGTGCACTTCATATCTGAGAGTCAAATAGAAGCGTCTAATAGTATGCTTACAGCACAGTTGTAAAAATTCTTATTTTCTGTGTGCTTATCTGCTAAATAGTACCATTTGGGGCCTGCTCTTCATATCTGAGAGTCAAATAAAAGCATCTAATAGTGCACTTACCGTGCAGTTGTAAAAATTCTAATTGTTTTGCTGCTAACTGCTAAATAGTACATTTGTTGCCTGCGGTGCACTTCATATCTGAGAGTCAAATAGAAGCGTCAAATAGTGCGCTTACTGTGCAGTTGTAAAAATTCTAATTGTTTTGCTGCTAATCTGCTAAATAGTACATTTTGTGGCCTGCTCTTCATATCTGAGAGTCAAATAGAAGTGTCTAATAGTGTGCTTACAGCACAGTGGTAAACATTTTTATTTTCTGGTTGCTAATCTGCTAACTAGTACATTTTGGGGACTGCTCTTCATGTCTGAGAGTCAAATAAAAGTGTCTAATAGTGTGCTTACTGCGTAGTTGCAAAAATTCGAATTGTTTTGCTGCTAATCTGCTAAATAGTACATTTGCGGCCTGCGGTGCACTTCATATCTGAGTGTCAAATTGAAGCGTCAAATAGTGTTCTTACAGCACAGTTGTAAAAATTCTTATTTTCTGGGTGCTAATCTGCTAAATAGTACACTGTGGGGCCTGCTCTTCATATCTGAGAGTCAAATAAAAGCGTCTAATAGTACGCTTACTGCGCAGTTGCAAAAATTATAATTGTTTTGCTGCTAATCTGCTAAAAAGTACATTTTGTGGCCTACTCTTCATATCTGAGAATTGAAGCAAATTTTTTTTGGTGCTTAATAGTATATTTGGGGTGTGCACTTCATATCTGAGAGTCAAATAGAAGCGTCAGATAGTGCGCTTACTGCGCACTTGTAAACATTCTAATTTTCTGGGTGCTAATCTGCTAAATAGTACATTTTGTGGCCTGCTCTTCATATCTGAGAGTCAAATCGAAGCGTATAATAGTGTGCTTACAGCGCAGATGTAAATATTCTAATTTTCTGGGTAGTAATCTGATAAATAGTACATTTTGGGCGTGCACTTCATATCTGAGAGTCAAATCGAAGCGTATAATAGTGTGCTTACAGCGCAGATGTAAAAATTCTAATTTTCTGGGTAGTAATCTGATAAATAGTACATTTTGGGCGTGCACTTCATATCTGAGAGTCAAAACGAAGCGTAACTTTGATTCGAATTTACTACATCGGTCACTTGTAATATTGTTTCACACCTACAACACTTGTTACAGAGATCGAAGTGATAGAAAACAGATTGATATTTTCTACACTAGAAACTACCAGATAACAAGCTGCTATATTTAAACCAGTTATCAATAGCTAAGAGGTACTTAAACAATATTGTAATTCTGGGGCAGGGTTGAGGAGTGGGTGGAAGATGATGTGGAGGATGATGAGGTCCTAGACCCCACATGGAATCAAGGTCATGCGAGTGATGTGTGCAGTTTGGAGGAGGATGCGCTGGTGCAAAAGCGGAGCAGCCGTCCCCTAGCGCTCGTCAGCATGTATTAGCTTGAGAATTACCAGTTATCCAAGTAATACATGTAGCGATCAAAGGATCCATAATAGAGTTGAGCGAACCCGAACTGCAAAGTTTGGGTTCGTACCAGATTTAACGATCCATTCGTAGTTTCAAAGTCAGGTGGGCAGTCCGGTGACCAGGACCCAGACACTGTCTGGGCGGCGGTCGGATGACCGGGACCCAGCATGCCTGATGTTGCAGTTAGGAGTCAATGGATTAGCAGGGTCTGGTGCAGGGTAACCGCATGCCCCCTGGTGTTGAGCACCAGCATTTGTGCGGCCACATACCTGATGCAGCTTCAGTAAAAAGAGTACTGGATACCAGGAGCCATCACCAGACTGATCTGCAACTTGGAACAGGATGTGACATTCACTGTGGTGGCTGTGCGCGATTTTGGCGTTCTCACTCTGCTGCTGCTCACCTGTCTGCGCTGCAGGGTAACCTCATGAGACTGTGCGAGCAGCAGCAGGCGACAGTGGAGTTTCAGCTGCAGCACGCACGGGTCAGTGGCTCTGCACCAGACTTCCCTCCAATTGATCAGAGTTAAAGGATTTCAAGTGGACTCATTACAATTACAGGGCCTCTAAAGAGTCCTGTATTGTTATTTGTCGTCACTACCTTCCGCGTCGGGAGTGGGTTATTTGTCTGCCTGCTGCCTTCCTTGCATGTGGTAGCCATTTCTCAGGGTCCCTGTACGGAATGGAACCCTGATTCCCCATTACCCGTGGTCACCATGGTAGGCGCAGAAACTGGCATCAAATGTAGATATGGATGACATCTGAATGCAACGTCACCGTCACGGGGATGTGCGATTGGCCCGAGGTTCTCAAGAGTCAACAAAGTGCCTGTGCAACTATAATGTCAACAGCTACTCTGCGGAACAGAGTTGTCCTTTTTTATATGTCCCAATATTTTGGGGGCTACCCCAATTAAAAAAAAAAAATAAATATATATATATATATATATTTTTTTTTTTTTAAAAACAGTGCTGGCTACCTCATCCTCCTCCTCCACTGCTGTTTCCACCACCACGGTCACCACCTCCTCAACCTATGGGTCACTTAGTATAAACTATGTACACAATAGCAGAGGCTTGTGAAGGCCTTTTCTCCATGCATCAGGAGTTGAGCATTTCTCCATGCATCAGGACTGCAAGAAATGCACCGCAGGCCGCAAATATTTCTTTTTTTATATGTCCCAATATTTTGTGGGCTACCACAATAAAAAAATAAAAAAAACATAAAAAACAGTGTTGCCTACGTCATCCTCCTCCTCCACCCCTACTTCCACCTACACCGCCACGGTCACCGCCTCCTCAACCTATGGGTCACTTAGTATAAACTATGTACACATTAGAATAGGCATGTGAAGGCCTTTTCTCCATGCATCAGGAGTTTAGCATTTCTCCATGCATCAGGACTGCAAGAAATGCACCGCAGGCCGCAAATGTTTCTTTTTTTATATGTCCCAATATTTTGGGGGATACCACAATAAAAAAAAGCAAACAAACATAAAAAACAGTGTTGGCTACCTCATCCTCCTCCTCCACCGCTGTTTCCACCTACACCGCCACGGTCACTGCCTCCTCAACTTATGGGTCACTTAGTTTAAACTATGTACACAATAGCAGAGGCTTGTGAAGGCCTTTTCTCCATGCATAAGGAGTTGAGCTCAGTTTGAACAATGAAAGAGAATACCCTGCACTCCAACCCTCTCTCAAATGGATAATTCTGGTGATCCTCCTGACAGCCATGCTTTAGATTTTGATTTATGTTCTTCCAAAGCTAAAATCAAAGATTCCATCTAGTGCTATTTTATGGCTCAGATGTATTTTTAATTTTTATGTTATTTTAAGTGATTTCCCTATCCACATTTGTTTGCAGGGCACTTGACCTACTCTTACCATTTTACTTCATTTTTCAGCTCTCTAGCCCTTTCCAGGAGGTTTTTAGAAGCATTTTTGTGCCCAAAAGTTCGGGTGCCTATTGACTTCAATGGGGTTCGGTCTCGGGGTCAAGTTTGGGGTCAAGATCGATCACAAACCTGGACTTTTTTTCAAAGTTCGCCCAAACCCGCCGGACCCGAACATCCAGGTGTCCGCTCAACTCTAGTCTATATATTTTGACACGTTATAAGACACTGACATAATCCCTGACACTATGGGTCTGCCTGGTGGGTTTTCCATATTTTTGTGAATTTGGGGGAGGATATAGAATACCGGCGTTCTTGGGGATTTAATGTTAAGGAAATCGTATTCTTTTTGGGTTAAAATTCCCTCCAGTTTACCTTTATCAAGAATCCGGACTAAAGTCTTTTTAATGTCCCCTAAAGGGTCACTTTTTAACTTCTCATATACCTCCTCGTCCTCTAGTTGTCTATTGCACTCAGCCAGATATTTTGTAATGTCTATCACCACCAAGCTACCGCCTTTATCTGCGGGCTTGATGATGATATGCTCATTTTCTCTCAGTCCCCTTAATGCCTTTCTCTCATCATATGTGAGGTTAGACATCTTGTTGCTGCAATGTAGTTTTTTAAAATCATTGGAGACCACCCTCTCGAAGGTTTCTATCGAGTCTTGCTTTTAAATAGCTTGGATAGAATGTGGAACTGTTGTGTAGATTAGAATGTTTGAAAGGGTCTTCCCCATCTCTATCTTTATTGTATTCCTTATTAGGATTTGAGAAGAACTTTTTAATATAAAGTTTTCGACTATATTTAAGCACATCTATATGGGCAGTAAAAGGGTTAAAGTCCCTAGTTGAAGAGAACTTAACGCCCTTAATTAAGGACTTTAATTTCATTATTCTCTAAGATGTGTGAGGAAATATTATTAATACCTATTGGTGCTACCGGCTGTATTTTTTTTTTATTTTTTTTTAGATTTTGAATTTTATTAAAGATCTTAACTACTGAGTTTCAGTTAGTAGACATGTCCCCTTTTTTTTTTTTTAGGAGTTTTCTCTTTTACAGTTTTATACACTTTTATTTATCACTAACTCTTTAACTGCAAATTGGATCTCTCCTGTAAAGTAGTAACACACTTTACTTAGACTTTTAAGGTCTTGAAATCACCAGATGTTTGATAATTAAGTTTAGACAATATGCACTTTTGCTATGTGTATGGCATTATTTCTGTCTATTTACCTTTGTTTACTCTGGAATGTCTTAAGGCCCTGTTTAAATTGCCCCATATGTACCCCTTAAGTAATAACCTTTTTTTCTGATAAGATTAGAGCATACCAAAGATTTGATGCACTTAGGTGATATGCCCTTATTTTATACGATTTTATAGTGCTAAGTATAAGACTTATATATAGGTTTTTAATCACTTTTTCATTCCGTTTGTGTTTTACATTGAATATTTTGATTGCTATAATGTATATGCATAAGGACTCAGAAACAGAAACATTTTTATAAATGATATAAAAGGCATTGATGGACACTCTAACTCACGCTTGTGAAAGCCCAGAGAGGCTGGGGCGAAACGCGTAGCGTATGACAAAACCCGGAAGTAGCTGCATCAACAAGAGTCTGTGAGAAGCTGGTTACAGAACGGGTTAGGACTAAAATGGTTTATCCACGATCCATCTGGACTGCACTGACCTTGATTTGCACAGCAGCAGCATTTGATTTTACTTATTTTTATCTAATAAAGCTACAATACCTTTTCTACTTCGAGTTTTCGTTTGAGAGTGAGTTTCTACTACACACCATTGTCTGGATCCAACGCTCACAAGGGGGTGATCCTCCTGGAGCCCAATAGTTTGGAGTGGTACTTCAACCACTCCACAATTGTGAGTTTTTATTACCTCCAATTACTTTTATATCTCTCTATAGACATTATTGCACTAGGTCTGTGTTTTTATATATTATAGGTCAAGACTACCCTTGAAAAACCTGTGCAATTGCAAGTATATGCCTATTGGTCATTTCTCTGTTTTAAATCAAATGGTATCTGTATATATTTATTGGTAACACACTGGTTACAGTTAAAGTACTACATATTACTGCACCCAGTGGTGTATCCTTGTTTTGCGCCAACTTATTCTTTTTCTTTCTTTTAACATAAAGAGAAAAACACAGTAAAGGAGGAGACTATATTTAAAAGAAGAAAAACTACCACAACAAGAGGATATAAAATTAAAGGGGCAAAGGTTTAAAAATAATATCAGAAAGTATTGTTTTACTGAGAGGGTAGTGGATGCATGGAATATCCTTCCAGCTGAAGTGGTTGAGGTTAACATAGTGAGGAAGTGTAAGCATGGGATGGGTAGGCATAAGGCTATCCAAGCTAGAAGATAAGGCAAGGGGCTAATGAAAGTATTTAGAGAATTGGGCTGGCTAGATGGGCAGAATGGTTCTTATTTGCTGTAACTTTTTATGTTTCTATTTTGGAAATTCACATTTGTTAATTTGTGATTTGTTGATAGTGTTAATTTGTGTTTAATAATTTGGCATTTTGATTTTTTAATGGTCCCCCCTTTTTGCATGGTTCTATCTTACCACTCTGGCTGCTCCATCAACATCTCCTTGTATTTCATCACCTCCACTTTACAGTCTGTTTCAGTTGGAATCTCCCAAAGCTCAGTACTCGTCTCCCTTCTATTTCCTCTTTCCACTGCTTTTCTTTGCAATAGTATTAGTCCAAGACCACCAATACATGCTAAAACACATATATAGCTCTCTTCCTTTAAACCTATCACCTGGAATGTTGTACTGACTGCTAATCACCAGTCAGTAAGTTAATGAGTACCCGTTTCTTTTTTTTTTCTCAAAGTTCAGTTTCAGTTTATTTTTTCCCCTTTTGTATTCTCTACAATTATTTTAGTTTGGCAGGAAATCTCCTTTGCGTTATAGAGACTTTCTTAATGTATCAATTCACTGTGGATTCCTACAGTGATAACGTGCCTAGGATTATATTCTTTTTTTGATTGACACTATTTACATCTTCCTGCTAACAATGTCAGTTAAAAGGAGATAGTTCTTGCTTTCACATAGTGTGGCCTTATGAACGTGCTGTAGTTACTGCAACATTTTTGAACTGAGATGGTTATTTTGATCCATTACTGGATTCCTCTTTGATGCTTATGCTGTAGTAACAGTCTCCAAGGTATAATTAAATTTATATTGCCATGTATTACAGTGATGTGCTTGCTGAAAGGGGCTCAGGGAAATGTTGAGATGGTTATCATTATTGCATGTACCTCAAATGACATGCTCTTTATCTCAAAGGGTGAATCTCTGAACACCGTTTTCCTGACAATGATAAACAAAAATAGAACATTAGTTCTTAACTATAAAAGAAGTTGTGCTTAACTATAAAAGTACTATGTAACAATATAATCTAATATTCTATGTTTTAGAGAAATATAAATTGTAAGTGAAACTAACAGAGGAAAGTGTAAATTTCAACAATAAACCTGATTTTCAATGGGGGTTGAATAATTTGGATTACAACTGTACCTTTGTCTGATGAAGTGCCAGTAAAGGCATGAAACGCATCAACATTGATCTTATGCTCCTTACATGTCCCAGCTGTGAAGTGAAATTTGAATAAAGGCCATTTTTCCTGTTATCCTTAACAGTTTAGGAATTTTCTTTTCTCTGGAGCTTTGGTTATTAACATATTTCCTTACCAGTAGTGACAGAACCGTACTCCCATCTCCCCTCATTTTTAGGTACACTTATCACCGTGCATTACATTGGAACGTTTTTGTTGTTTTTGTTGCCTCAAGCTATTTTATTCTTTCACTTATGATAAATAACATACCTATCAAATGTCATTCTTTGGGACCCAAATAATTATGCTCTTCTTGGCTAGCCTAATGATCTTCCCTTCTGGTAGCCTTTATGTTTTGTGTGGATAGAAGATAGTTGACACATATGAATTCTTATGGTGTATCTCAAAATTAATTGATCATTTTACGTAATTGGCTGTTGGTAGATAATGCAGTCATCTAAATTCACATCCTCTGGCTACTTCTAGAGCCATA